AACGCCATGAAATATTTATCTTTAAAAAGTAGTTAGTAAAATACAATTGCTTTTTGTATCAATTCAATTGGGCGTTTTATGAAATACGTATGAATATTTGCTTAAATAATGGTATTTCATTGTTCGAAATGCGTTATAGTTATTCAAAATTATTTGAATGGAAATTCACGTTTATAGGTACAGACAGCGATTAAAACGTTATCCATATATCACATTCTGATGGTAATATAGAATATTTTTTCACCGCGATTCACGGTTCGATGATCAAATGGAATTCATTTGGAACTAAAACGAAAATTACTGTAACTATGCACGGTGTATATAGTAATATATCTATATATAACTAGCAAACCCGACGAACTCCGTTTCGCCACCAGATGGTTTCGTGAGAAAGATGAAGAAAATTTTTGTTTGTTTTATATTTGAAAAGGAAAAATTTGATTTTATTACACAACAGTAATGAATTTATTTCGATTATCAAAATTAAGTGTTTTTTAGTTGAACTTCTCTAAGTAAATGAAAGTGAATCCGCAAATTATCCGTTTCATTGAAGTGCTCCTTGGTAAACCACATTTTTTGTTTTTTGGTCTGGCGTTAACACAAACAAAGCGGATGGTTTTCCAACTCGTGAACAGGCAACGTATAACTGCCCATGTGAAAAACAATGTTTTTCTAAATAATCTATTTGAAATTTATCCCGCAAACACTAAGCGATTGGCCTTGGACTTGTTAATTGTCCTTGCGAACGCAAGGCGAACTGGAAGTTGCAATCGTTTGAAGTCAAATGGAAGACCAGTCGGAATCATTGGTATGTCACCAAATCGGCAGCAATTTTTGATCGAATGGTGAAATTCAGTGCGTGTACATTATTATTTTTTGCGGCAAGAATTGCTCGTTCACTTAACCAAGCATAATTCTGATAATTCTCACTAATGTCATTACTCGAATTTTTAATTAGCCCGAGATGTTATCTGAATGTCATTACAAGAGAATGAACTCTGGCAAAATTTATAAAGGTTAATATATCAATAAATAACATGTGAAATTCGTTATAATTTAGATAATCGATAGAGATCAATACGATAACCAAATAGAAATCAATAACAATAAGAAATATAGAAGTTTCCTTTCCTGATTCCAGTTCCTGAGTCTAATTCCCTGACTCGAAATTCATATAGAAGTTAACAAGAATTTGTATTCACATATATTACCAATATTGCTTCTAATATCCTCGACACAAAATGTTTGAAATAAAAAATCTGAAAACCGGTTTTCGAATTTTAATTTTACTAAAAAACCGGTTTTAACCGGTTTTCAAATTTTATATAGAAAATAAATTTTTGTTCGAATATCCTGTAATTTATCCGCAAATTTAGTGCAATTTAGAGCAGTATTTGACTGAATTTATTATTCAATTTTGTAGATAGTAATCAAAATTATTTTAATTTTGATTAGTAGAACTAAAAAATAATAGTTTATCTTGATTTGAACATAATTATTCGTTATTCATGCATCATTTTCACATATAAAAATGGAAATATTTTTATGATAGTAGAAATTTTTCGAATAAATAAAAGTAATACATTTTTAAATAAAAAACATTCATTAAATTAAAAAAAAGTTAAAAAAATACTAGATACATGTTGATACATATTTGTTAATATCAATTTTATTTTAAAAACAATTAAGCTAAACTCGGGTATTGTCTGTTCCGAGAAAATTTAACTAATTAATTTTAAACACTTTAATTGTTTCTTGTTTAATAAAATATGATTTCAAAAAACTGAGAACGTCTATCGAATTTCTACATAGACGTGTCCTTTGTTTACTCACAAAATTTCCTGTAGAAAATACTCTCATACTGACTACCAAATTATGCTTAATTGTTTTTAAAGCCTGATATAATAATTCTAAGGTTTTTGTTCTTTTATTTGTGGCTTCTAGGGTTTAAAACTCTTTTTTTTAAGTTTGAGTAGAGGAAGTTACTTCTTCAAGAAGAAGTCACACTGATTTAAATTAATATATACCTTGATATAAAAATCGAAATTAATATATTCAAATCCTTTCTGGGAACCATTGCAGACTGATAAGATATAAAATGCTATTGAACCGATATGATTTCAAGAATCAAAACGCTTTCATCTATCTTTTATATTTGGCTATATTTGTCATTTTCCATTTATATAGTGAAAACCAACTTTTTTCACTAAAAAACGGTTTTCGAATACCATAATTTTCGCCAAAAAACCGGTTTTAAAAACCGACAAAACACTAGTTGCTGTCTACTTCAATAAACCTTATTCGAATCGATACAGTTCAAACAAAAGTGATATAAAACAATAAACATTTTCTATTTTTCTTTCTATCCACTTACTTTGCACGAGTCTGTAGTGATGATGAGCAGGTTGTGGCAGCAGACAAGCTTGTTGCTGTTGCTGTTGAGATTGTTGCTGTTGTTGAACGTATCCGGAGCCATCGGGAGGCTGTTGCTGATTGGACTGTTGCTGGGGCTGAGGTTGACCCGAAGACAGCTGCGGGGGCGGTTTCCCCAGAGCCATCGCGTGTGCGGCCGCAGCCGCGGCGGCGGCGTGCGTATGCGGCACTATGCCCACGTGCGGAACGCTCATGAGGGGATGCTGGCCTGGCGCCGGGCCCATGTTGGGCACGTACCGAGACACCATGCTTTTTTCGGGAGATTATTCGGGATGGATCAGTCGAGGGTGGTTATTCGATCGCTCTAGGGAAGGTGACGCACGCGAGTCAAACCACTGCCGTGGGGTGTGACAACACCCGCATGCACAAGCGCATGCCCCCGCACTATTGTGATTACGCTGCTCTCGCCGTATTTGTATTACTCCGACTCCGACTACTAGCACGTTCCTCCTGCGTGCGGTGCGTGACCGCTTGTTATTAGGAAGATCCTTCCAATAAATCCTATACTCTCTCCGCCGACGGTACGGTATTTTACTGCTGTTTAGCTTCGATATTTGAATAAAATTGCTTATAGGATTGGATTTAGTCGACCGAGTAAAAGACTCGCCATTTTTGCTCCGTGCTGCGACAGAGCTCCGACAGTTGTTATTACTGCCTTATAGTAATTGCCGTTAAAGAAAATGCATAGGAATTCCGCATGCGTTGATAACGGTGGTTTCTTATTCACAATCACAAAATAAAGTTTCTATTCAATTAATGTGCGTATTTACTAATTAAATAACTTACACTGTAGAGTCACAATAGTAAAAAAATCTTTAAACTGATCTGATTATCTTACTAAACTAAAAGTTTTTTTCAACTGTAATATTATAAAAAATGATCTCAGAATGTTATCACTAATAGTCCTTTGTTTGATGTGCATTTTTACACGCACCGGTACGACGTGAAGTCAAGATTACATACACTGCAAATAAGAACACACTTTTAGGAATTGTGCTATGACATAGATGCATATTACCCATACTACAAGTATTTACTAATTTAATTACAACATGCTCACAAAATTAATTTGATTATAAGAATCATAGTTTCAGGCAAGTCTAAAACAACAAATTACTAATTTCAAATATTTGCTACAAATGATTCTGTTACAATGCAATTTATTTAAATAAGATAATGTTATTGTATAGTTTGATATATACGTGAGAAAAAGCTTGATTTTTCAAGTTCTCACGATTAACTAGCCGCGTGAGTATCTGTCACATCTCATAATTCACACGAATATTTCTAACTGATATTATTTGTCAAATTCATACATGGCTACAATAGTTAAATAGTATCTATTAAGGTAATGATATCGTCTTAAAGACCACGCTTTATGCAGGCGTTTGTAAGAAAATCGATAACCGCACAAAGTGACGCCCTGTTTGTGTGAAAAAACCTCATAGAAATATGCATCTACGTGTAAAACACAATTCTACAACATATCTACTCACTATAAAGATCACAAAGTCATATTGTCATTTAATTGAACACAATTTCTGTCATTTTCACATAAAACACCTTTATAAAAATAATCACATATTATCACAAAAACATAACGCTTTATGTCAAAATCGCCATCTTGTGGATATGTTCGTAAGAAAATCGAAGTTTGTCACATGGATTGCGGTCTCTCTCTAACACATAGGGATTGACATAAGTCGCGTGAGATAGAGCATACGGCGGAGAGTTCATTTTGGAGAGAATAAAGTACGATGGTCGTGTGTGCGATTGCCGCTAGAGTTTAGAGCGGCGCTTTAAACACAACCATGCGGAACATAGCGGCGAAACGTCAAAACAAAATGTGGCGGGAGCGAAAGCTTTTTTGAATTTGAAGGAAAATTATAAAAACGTATATTATCGTAATAATCGTCTACCCTATGCTTAATAATAATAGATATATAATTTTGAATAGCTCCTATGCATATGGATATAAGTTAAGGTAATATACCAAAATATTTATTGTATTTAATTTTTGTCTGCTGTCTGTTTTGTCTATTTGGGTTAACCTCCGAAACGGCTTGACCGATTTTAACAAAACTTGTTGGTCGCTGATGTAATTGGACGTAATTTAAGCTGCTTTGAATTGAGAAAATAAGTCTCTTTTTAAAAATTAACTACGATAACCAAAAATTAGTCATAATTTCACTAAAGCTCTAGGTTGCACTTTAAAGCTCATAATTTTCAAACAACGTGAAAAACTTTTTTTTCTAATTTTTTTCAGAGCAGGAAGTTAAGGTCAATACTATCACCCCGTTTCGGGTTTGACGTTGAGTTCTAGTAAATGGTATATGCAATAACAATGTAAACATTTTATTTGTTAAATTCCACGTGAAGAAAGTGGCAAACACGTTAATAAAAAATCCTTTTAATGAAATTATATAATAATAATATAAACTAGTGGTGTATGGCATCGTGCCTTAAGGCAAACTGCTGTAACTTCCCGTACCGTAATAAAATATTCGAGAAATTTTAAACGTTTTCAAATATATTATTACAAATACTGTAAATTTCATTATTTTTGCTATCTTGTTATATTTGAGCAAATCAAATGTAAATCATAAATCAATTTATCTCCAGAACATTAACAATCGTCATTTCATTTCGAATTCAATTTAAAAAAAAAAGTTGCTCAATTTACACAAAATTGAATAAGTGCTCCCATATAGTCACAGTCTAAACGCATTTGCAAATAATTCTGTGCGACATTTCCACTTATACTATGCTTAGCTTGGCGGCATTTTCACATTTTTCAATAGTTTTCACAAATTGGAAAAGTGCTAAATGCACTTGGGTAAACATTTGCACCAGAGTGGCGCTTAGACTGTGCTTAGCCTGAGTGATTTTTTGAATTTTTAATCCAAAATTACAAAATATTTTTTGAAAAAAAATTAGAAACAATTTTTTTTCCAAAAGCAATTATTTGTTGAAACAAGCAGAAAATTCTTTGAATCATTTAAATCGGACGCTTAGTTCTCTCAAAACTGCCATTTTTTTTAACATTCAGTTCTGTATCTCCGAAACCGCTAGGTCTACCTTTGCTAAAAAACTAATAACCGTCATTACGAACTGAATGTTTTTTGGATCATACAAATCGGATGATCCGTTCTCTCAAAAACTCGATTTCTATTTTTTGCACTCTTTGCTCCATATCTCCGACACGGCTGGACCTGCCTTTGCCAAAAACTAATCAGCACATCTTCCTATTAATAGGAATCGAATGTTTTTTAAACCATACAAATCGATTGATCCGTGCGCCCGAAAACGTGGATGTAAAAATGCGGACATACAAAACACACACACACATCCATTTTTCAAAATGTTCAGAAACCATTAAAACGTCGATTTTTCGGCCCATTACTATAACTACCCTACGGGAAGTTAATAAATTCTTTTAACATAATTAATAAAATTGAAAGTTAAGGAATTCTTGAAGTCACATAGTACTATTATATAATAGCTATATAATAAATTAATATATCTTGATATAAAGAATATATTCTTAAGATAAGCAAAGGTTTCAGGTACAAAAATTCATAGTAATTTCATTTTTAAATTGGTTGTGATAAGCGAAAATTGATTATTAAACATTCTTATGTTTTAATAGTTACATACGATGAATGCTATAGCATCCATGTCAAGTATCATACTTCTATTTTATGCAATTTGTTTGCCCCAAGCAAACTACGGGAAAAGATAAGAAAATACCTAAAGAGTCAGGTCGTCATTACCCTGACAGGTATAATGGGTACAAAAATGTAAGGTTATATGAAATTAAATTTGAAATAATTGACTTTAAAATTTGAATGCTATAGCATTCACGTCCGCGAACGTGTTCAATAATACAATTTCTATTGTCTGAAGTTATCATAAGGAAGTCATGATGCATATTTTATTGTATTATAAATTATATTATTTAATATAGAGCAAAAAATGTTACGACATCATACACGTACGCACAAGAGCAGGAATTATTATGACGCAAACTAATACGTATTGTGAATTGATGGAATTGTTCATTCTAATGTATTCAAAATACGACTATGTCTTTAACAAGCGATAAGAACTATGTGAAATAATCTCAAAATTTCGTTTATATAGCTAAAATTTCATAATAATATTAACTAAGTGAATATACTTTGAACTAAAGTAGTGAAAAGCTATTTGGACTAAACCTTCTTTGTGCTCATTTGGCAGAATCAAAATATGAAAAGTTGCCCCAACGTTTGAGATTTTGTAAGACTAATATTTCTTAATTCAGTTTTTACTTTGCACCCTTCCAATTTGCAAATTCCAATATTATATTTATGATAAATGCACCTCGAAAAAAATTAAGAAAAAGCTTGAACTATGGACTTAAACTTTAATTTGAGGTTGTTTTACAGAATCCCAAATTTGGAAAGTTGTCCAGAAGGTTGGGATTTTGTGAAAGTAATATTTTCTAATTCAGTTTTTTCATTTTATCCAAAAGAAGCAAATTTAATAAAAATGTACAAAAACTAGTAAATTATCGCTGAAATTCGTTTTTTCAAAAATTAGGAAAAAGCTTAAACTTTGAACTTTAGCCTAAAATTATGTTTGAGTTTCTGTTAAAGATTGTCAAATATGAAAAGGTGCCCAAAAGTTTCGGATTTTGTGAAAGTAATATTTTCTAATTCAGTTTTTCAGAAAATTTATAAAAACGCACAAAACTAGTAAATTATGGCTGAAATTTGTTTTTTTAAACAGGAAAAAGCTTAAACTTTGAACTTTATCCTAAACTTATGTTCAAGTTTATCTTAAAGATTTTCAAATATGAAAAGTTGCCCAAAAGTTTGGGATTAAGTGTAGCAAATATTTTATTATTTAAGTTTTTATTTATACTTTATACAATGGAACAAATTTAACAACAAAGTACAAAAAAAAAACAAAATTAAAGCCCTCTTTTACAAACTTTATAATAGCCATAAGCAAACAAAACCCTTATTGTTACATTCATAATAAATATAAATTTGTTATTATTTTCACGGTACAAGTATTTTTAGAAACAATTTATTCCATTACAATCTATTTGCACACTTAATGTTATGAACAAAAAGAGTGAAAATATGAATTTTTGAAAAAAATTACAATCAAACAGTAATACAGATTAAAAATACAATTAATCAACGACATATTTTTCTTTCCAAATCTTGACTTCTATGTGTTTTTTATTAGAATCTATAATATTTTTATAAACCTGTTGATTTTTTAAAATCGAGTAGATTTAGCAGTGATATACCATTTTTTGTGTAACAAAAAGCGTAACCATGGTACGAATTTTTTTGTATTTTCAACAGTAATCAGAACTAAACGAGTACTATGAGTTGTGCGATGTGGTTTTAGAGTGCAATCCATATCTATGTGATAAATTCACTATTACAATGCAACGAAATGACTATTTTCTCTTAGAAACATACGCTATCTGTATGTCCAAGCAAAAACCGGTGTCACTGCTGCTTGACTTCAGGCTGTCCGAAGCTCTACGAAATTCGTATATAATAAAATCGGAATAAATTTTAACGGAAGTCCCAAGGCCGTACGTTCACTTTTGACACCGAACTGATTTGACAAAGTCTCAACTCAGAATGATGGTATGCCCAAAACAAATAACAAAACATGATTAAAAGTTTTTTCTCTTATCTCGCAGGATGACGAGCGGCACAGTCAATAAAAATCTTAATTTAATTTTGAACACATTTAATTGTAATAGAAAATAAAACATCCATTACAATGTGGGTATTGCCTAACCCATTTTGATATAAAGTTACTGAAAAAAGATTTATATCTCAAATGGTTTGAGCTTAAGAATCACCCATTCAAAATTCCATGTCTCGTCAAGTTGATTACTTTTATTTGTAGTGATTGTACACATTACTGCCATATCAAATTTTTATCTTGAAGATAATACTATCAATATAAAAGGGAGATACGAGGTCATAGTATTAAGTATTTTAATTTAACAGCTCGTCTGTCTATCAGACACACACTTTTATATTATGGAAAAAGATATGAAAATCAGACAATATAAAAATCAATGATTAAAATTAGAATTTATGGCAATAATAATTAAAAAATGGTACATAAGATATTTATTTTTGAGACTATTTAAGCCGTGAAGATAGTGTTAAAATTAAATGCAAAGTAATTTTCAGACTGATCAAAATTGATTTTAAATTTATTCGACATATATACAGAGTGTCCCAGAACTCAACGTCATGCCTGTCCTAAGAAGAATTAAAAAAAGAATATCTGAAGTCGTCTGAATTATGGGCTTTTAAGTGCAACCTATAGCTTTGATGAGATTGTGACAATTTTTCGGTTATTGTGGTTAATTTTTATTATTTCGTTCATATGAACTTGAAAAGTGTAACCCTAAATAATATTTCTAGAACCACAATCAAAATAAAAAATAGAGTCAAATACATAAAAATCTATTTATACGTAGCAAGAGCAAGTTCATTGGCTGTATAAAAACTTTCAAAAAAAAAAAGTTTGTAATCTACCTGGGAAACAAAACATCTTCAGCAATTTTTTTAAAGAACCATACCAGAGACCAACTTTGGCATAACCTGTACAATTTTAAAATAAAAAAGAACATAGAGTTAAATACACAAAAATCTACAAACCTTTACACACAAAACGTATTTTACTGTTTGT